TCTATGATTCTATGATTCTATGACTTTGTGACACTTGGAACTTATTGAAAAACAAACTTATTTTTGGAAGAGGGATTAAGAGGTTGTGGAATGTGTGTCTAATCCTTTAAAAATACAGTTCCCTGGAATTTCAAGTGAAGACTCTTTTTATTGTTATTTCCTCATCTCCCATATGGATTACATTCAGTCTGTTTCCGTTCTCATCCTTCCTTTTTATTGCTTTCAGATCCAAACTGTCACCAAGAAAGTGTTGGTGCCACCACCCATTGAAGAACCACCTAATGTCACTGAATCTGCTTTTGCTATGATGAATGAGACAGTGCGTGAAGCACCACCAGAAGCCCAGATGGTCATTAAGAAAGGACTTGAATTTAAGGATGGCATGAATGTCCTGGGTAGGAAAACTTTTTGCCTGTCAAATATGTACATCATATATATGACACAGCTTTTGCCTGTGACTCGGGAGCCAGAGTTGTCTGATCTGCTGCTCTTCAGTGCAAGTTTAGTCTCCCCAAATAATCATCAAATGTTTGCACCTACTGGTTGCCCATTGGTCTCTGAGATGAAAGTCTAATGATCTTACTTGATATGACTGTATCACAGAAACAATCAAGTGAATTATTCTGGATTGGCAGCTTTGCAGGTATGAATTGGAGTACAGCAGGGAAGCATGTAGGAGGTACTCAAAATATCCTTTCATCCTAGAAGAAGCCTACCTAGACTAGTACTAATGCATATTGGCAAAACATTGGGGGAGAGCTTCAAGAGCCAGTGCTTTACCCACCCCCTGATGGATTTGAGCTCAGTTGTATCCAGTAGGTGTCTTAGGCGTGCTGAGGTGTCTTTGGCTTGAGGCAGAGCCTGAAGTGAGAGGTAGGGTGTGAACCACACCACCCAAGAAAAATCCCAGAGAGGCTTGACACATCTCTGAGTCACAAATCCCTCCTTCTTTCATCTTGGCTGCTGACCTCTGCCAGCTGCAAATTAAGAACAACTGCTGTCGTGCCATCTTGCCTGGACAAGCCAGCAAGTGGGGGTGGTATGAAGGCTTTGCCGATCTCCCATCCCTTTCTGAAGCAACTGTTCGGACTTGGGTGGGGGCACGGAGGAACAAGTAGCTGCCACACCTCTTCTGTTTTCTCCTTTGCGCCTAGACTCACCATTTTGTCGGCTCAGAGAGGAGTGCTCCTCCTTTACCTTCTTACTTTATGCATATGGGCGAAGTCAGTCACAAATTAGCTCTCAATTTGTAGCCTCATTAGCATGCCTACACTTGAAGATATACATGCTCTGTGGCAGCATGTCCACCATGCTGAGGCTGACACCAGTGTTCATAGGTGTCATCCTCAAGGTGGGACAGTATGTGGCAGTACTTATCTCACCACTAGGACATCACTTTTTAGGGGCAAATGATCCCTTACAGATTCCTTACAGCTGATGGACTGCTCCTGCTGACACAGTGGCTGCTGTGCCTGCAGAGCTTCTCCAGGTACTGGTGAGTTGGTTGGCAGTAGCTGCTTTGCTTAGACGTAGGGGAGACAGAATCAGTAAGCTGGTCAGAGCTGATTTGTTTCTCTGTGAAGCAGCCTGCTCTACAAGAGCCAGAAGGCACTATATTCTGTCTGCCTCCACAGCTCCTCCTGCCATTCAACATCTGTGGGCAGAGGAGCTGCTTTCTCTCAAGGCTGCAAATTGACATTTTGCACTCTGTGTGAGGCAGCAGCTCATTGCTCATGCTGTTACCCTCACTTGCATTTTCTCTCCTGAAGCACTGCTTATGCGTTAAAATGGAACAGTATTTCTAATGTAACAGGTGCATTACATTTAGTGCTGAACTTGTTTTGTGCAGGCTCTGTAATGGATAAGAAAAGAGCTAGAAGGCTGAATACAATTCCTACAGAAAGAAAATAAAGTTTAGGCAGGGGCTTTACTGTAGTATTTTGACCAATGACTCTCAAATGCTGCAGAGTTTTTTGGTTTGGTGTGGTTTGGTTTGGTGTGGTTTGGTTTAATTTTGAATGAAGAAGTGAAAATGTTCAGGAATTGCCATCCAGCTTGCATAAACTGTATAAGACAGGCGAATTCCTACAAGTATGAACCAACTTGACTCTTATGATTAATGTAGCAGCTTATTTGGAATTAACGAACAAAACCACCTACTAACATTTTCTGATGCAGAGTCTGAATTCCAGGAATTTACTTGGTCTTTGACTGAAAAGCTTTTTGTCATTTCCCTATGCTCTGCAGCACTTCCCTACTCAAGTGACTCAACAGAGATAGCTTGGTGCTAAAGAATGACTTTATATCCAGGAGACTGGATTAAAAAAAACCAACTCTGGTTGCTACACCCAGTGTAAGAATATGGGACAGCCTGTCTTTTCCCAGAGTACTGGTAGCTGAAATTCCCTTCTCTTGAATGCTTTTGTGTCCTGATGGGTTTTTCCTTAAGAATTTCCCAGCTGAGTCACATATTTGTTAAATACTGAACTCACATCATGACTGAAAGTTTAGCCTCAAAGGGTGGCTGAAGATTTAAACCATCTATCAGTATCAGTTAATAAACCCTCCCTGGACACTGAAAATTCTTGGATGGTAAAGGTTAGCATTGGAGACACAGCTCCAAAGTAATGCACAGATGCACTCAATGATAGTCCAACACACCAGACTTTTACAACTTCATGTTTAAATTTGGAGCCAAATGTTACTTGTGTGATTATGTATCCACTGCTAGCCAGTTTCAGTGAGGTTTATCTGTTTGATGGGAATTCTGTAGTTTAGCTGAAAGTGCAATACCCACCTTCTACTCCCACTCCCATCTTCTTTAACTGGAATACTCCTGGCCTGTGAAAGTTATGTTCTGGCGTTGCTTTTGCCTTTCCCTGTACTCCAGAACTGACTAGTCTGTAGGTTGAATCAGTCAAAGGACTTCCATAAAGCTTGAGAAAAACACTCTTGGTCTCTAGTGACTGTTTTAGCAACAAAGAAGAGTTATGATATGGTGCTGTATTGCCTCTCCTGTTTGCCAGGGACTATGAGGTTTCTAACAGATGCATAGCACTGAGAAGATTATGGTTTAGGTATTTTTATGATGATCAGATCAATTCAGGGAAAAAAAAGAAAACATAGTTGGCCTGTGAAATTGGAATTTAGTAAAATATTGAAGAATAAAAAATGTTCTGAATATGATAATGAAAGTTGAAAGCGAGTCCATATTAAAAAGTCCCAAGAGGTGTGTAATACACTCTAGTTCTGAAAACTGGATTAGCAGGTAGTATCAAGACATTCACTAGGTGAAAATCTTCCTAAAAGGCATGGTTTTACTTGCTTTATTTTTGTCTTGCAATTTTTTCCCAATAGGTTTGATAGGATTCTTTATTGCTTTTGGCATTGCTATGGGGAAAATGGGAGAACAGGCCAAGATGATGGTGGATTTCTTCAACATCCTGAATGAGATTGTAATGAAGTTAGTAACTATGATCATGTGGTAAGTTCGAAGTTCTACCTTCTAGAACAACAAAAAATATTTAAAAAAACTCTTAAAACCCTAATATAGCATATAGTAACCACACTTTGCTAGTAAACAATGTAATTAAATCGTTCATTTTTTAAAGCCTTGACAGGTATGTTAGAACCACAGCAGCATTATTTCTATTCAGTGAGGATTATCTAAGACCCAATTTGAAATATTTCTGAAGGTATTCTGTTCTTTGTTTACTGAAATCCAAGACATGCAGGTACCTGCAAAGGCCTTCAAATGCCACATTGATTATGGAAGTTCATTACATAGAGGGACACCTAAGCAAGCTAAAATGCCCCACATAAGAACATCCAAATCTTCCTGGGACGTTAGCATAATAGCTAGAACGTATAATTACAAAGAAGCCTGGAGACACCTTTATTCACTGTCTTCTGTAGTAAAAATATTTTACCACCTAATAAAATTCCAGTGGTTTTCAATGATGTGTAGTCCCTCCACCCATAGTTTCTGCAGAATCTATGGCTTATGACCTCGCTGCAGTGGAGTCACTGAAAGATATCTGTCCTGTTTTTGAAGTATACCGATTCGTAATAATGGGGCCTGGTTTGCCTTCCAGGGAGTGACTTAACCCAATTAAGTCTGAGCCCTTGTTTACGTTTCTGGAAGGGGATTCTCTTTTTTTGAGATGTTTCTTCCAAGGGCTTCCCCAGAGCTGTTTGTATGCAGTGCCAAGTGTGGCCATACCGCACAAAACCATTTTTTTTCAGAACATAAAAATGCATTGCTACATTTGGCATTGTACTACTGTGTTACATATCTCCTAGGTCTTTGAGGGCAGAAATATGGTCCAACACCATACACGTATCATGGCTCATTGCTCTCTGATTCCCTGGTGTCCCTGGAAGTGATATCCTGAGTTACAAGGATATCTTGAGGCTCTAGATGGACACAGTGTATAGAAAAGGGAGCAGAGTGCCTGAAGCTCTAGTCTTCAGCATCATTAGGGTTTCAAAGGAAGACTGTTGTGCAAGAGCGATGCAGATAGCAACAGCAATATGGAAATGTGTAGAACAACAGAAAGAACTTGAAGCAAAGACTTTGCATTCCTGTTATGCTTCTAGTTTGTTGTAAATGTTGCTGCATAAAAAACCAGTTGTTTTTATTCACAAAACCCTACTGCTTTCAATAGTTGCTGTAACCTCCTGCTCTCGACTCTATAGAGACATGGTATCTATACTCTCATACCACTTCAAGACCTAGAATTTACTCTTACCTCACTTAGCACCAGTTGGTGCACCCAAGACATAATACCTTGTCTACAGTATAAATTTTCTCTAGTTGTCAGTGTTGCAATGGGAGGAAATCATTCAAGTTGCAAGGAATTCACTGCGAATCTTAATTTTTTTCTGATATGCTTTTTATTTCTCTTTTCATGAGAAAGGAGGTCGATCTTGGAATTTTACTTGTTCATCTCTGTCTACAATTTTTAAAGAATTGTTGTGGCCAGAAGCAGGGCTTTTTATGTGTGTTTATAAAGACAAATGCACTTCTTTATGCAGAGTTATATTTTGTTTGGTTTATGATTTCTCTGCACAGAGAGCTGTAGCTCCCATGGCAACTCCAGACTCTTGGGAGCGTGGCATCACTACACAAACATAAAACAAACCAGACATCTGGCTCTGACACCATGTAACTCTTTATAAGAAATATACTTTATCAAGTTCATTGAAATATGGCTTTTTATGATAACTGTATAGCAGCTGGCCTTGCATTTCAAGTGACTAAGGACTTTCCAGGTTTTAGGCACATTGCTTGAGAGACCATGAGGTATTTCTTACAGAAAACATGAAGCACTTTTAATCTGAAAGTCAGTTTCCTTTGTATTGTCTTTAATTAAGCATCCAAGTCACTAATCACTTTTGAAAATATGCGTTACCATTTATTTTCAGAGAGACATTTTGTTTACTGTCTCTCCATATTACATGCATTACTTTCTCCCAGCTAAAGTTTGATAAAACAGATAGAGAAATTTGAATGCCGCTTAGAATTACATGATATACTAACCTTTACCAGTGCAGGTATAAATATTGTCTTCTATCCGTGCACTTTCAGGCATTTTTCACAATAGTCGATTATTAAATTTTAAAAATAATAACCATTCATTTCAAATTTTTTTTATTACCAAACTGTGCTACCGTTATGATCTGATTTAAAAATTCCATTAATGCCATTGGGGAAGCAAATGAATGAGGTGACAAAAATCCTACCCTAAATAAGAAAAGCACATGATTAATGAATGATCCATAAACTAAAAAGCATTCATCCAAATTATTGAAAGAACAGAATGGAAAGATTTGCAGCCTTCAAGATGAAAGCAATTAATTTCAACAAATAGTTTAACTGAAGCAAATAATGCAACTCCCTGAAACCAGATAAGCAATGGGTTGTAAAATTATGTATTAAGAACAAATACTATACCACTCTTCATAATGATCTAAGCCTGTGTAAAGTTATAGTATTCTTGTACAATGTTCTTCCAGGACCAAGGACTATTCAGGAAATGCATATTCCATTAGATGGGATGGAATAAACTGAGGTAGATGGGGAATTCACTGGAAACGACGATTGCTTTTTAAAAAGATATGAAAGCTATCCATTGAATTTCCATCAATTCCTGATCTGCATCTCAGTATTGAGCCTGAGAGCCCCCTACTCTTTCTCCAGTCTATACTCTGCTGAGCACAATTTTTATGACTACACTGCAAAGACTAGTTCTGTCTATGCTTGTTCTCTTTCTCCAGGTATTCCCCTTTGGGCATTGCTTGCCTCATCTGTGGAAAAATCATTGCAATCAAGGACTTAGAAGTAGTTGCTAGACAGCTCGGCATGTACATGGTCACTGTGATGGTGGGTCTTCTCATCCATGGAGGGATCTTCCTGCCTCTGCTCTACTTTGTGATTACCAGGAAAAGCCCATTTTCATTCCTTGCTGGGATTTTCCAGGCGTGGATCACAGCACTAGGCACAGCTTCCAGGTACACTTGAGAAATAACGGCTTGCTTTATTTTTTAGCAGATTATTAGCTGCTGTTACACCTGCCGTTCTGACCTTCACTGCAAAATCATTTTATGCAATTGAATAAAAACTATTTTTAATCCAGCCATGTTGAAATAAATAAAAATAACCATGCACCTTTGGGATTTTTTAGAGAGATTGTATAGCCAACTGCAGAGAGTTGAGTGACCTACTTTTTGTTTTCTTTTCTGGCATTGCCCAAATGACTTGAGCAAATTGTGTTATCTCTGTACTTGTTTCCTCAACTAGGAAACAGTGGTAATTCTGTTTGTTTTGAAAGCATGTTACGACCAGTCTTGTTGCCTTGGGTGGGGAAAAAAAGAAAAAAAAGAAACAGTGCTAGGTTTCAAGAAAGAAATGGAAGAACCTCATTTTATTCTTTAATCCATTTTGGCAGAGTAAAGGGACTTCATTGAAGAGCTGAGCATTTTAGACTTGTTGCTAATGCATAGAATAGACTCAACAAAGTGTGTAGGCAACTCAGCTTTCAGTAATAAACTGATGCTTTGCATTGGGGCAGTACGTAGATCTTATGTTGAAAATATTTTTCAGTTAAATACAGTATTTTAAAGTCTTTTTCTTCAATAAATGTTTTATTTCTGAAGAAAATTTAATCTTCCATTTTAATCAAAAAGTTGAAAGCGAAAAAGCCTAATTCTGACCATCAGAAAACTGAGCAGTCTTGATTTCAGGAGTGTCTTGAAAGAACTTAGTTCATCTGCCTCTTTGGGTCAACCCAAACCACTCTGCTGAACAACTTCTCCCCTGATGAACAAGACACTCTGGGGGGACATTACTGATGTGCATAAATATCTGTGCACAGTGCACAGTGCACAGAAGATGAAGCAAGACTCTTCCCAGTGCTGCCCAGTGACAGGACGAGAGGCAATGGGCACAAATCGAAACACAGGAAATTCCATCTGAACACAAGAAAAATCTTTTCACTGTGATTTACAGTGATGGTGGTTGGACACCGGCATAGGTTGCCCAGATACACAGAACCTGTCTGGGCACGGTTCTGGGCAACCTGCCCCTGCCTTGAACGAGGTGGTTGGAGCAAGGGACCTCCAGAAGTGCCTTCCAGCCTCAGCAGTTCCATGGCTCTGTGACAAACAATGCAAGATTGGAAGAGATGTAGTCTGGCCAGGAGTTTCACTAAACCACAATTTCCCTAAGGCATTTCATGAAAGTGTTTTGAGTTTCCACTTAGATTTTCAATGCAAAATTGACAGCGCCCATATACAACATTTGTGGGGTTTTTTTTAGTGTGAAGTAATGTTTTTCTGTTGGAGTACCAAAGTGAAAAAATGTAGGGGATTCTGAGTGATTCCATGTGCTGGGTTTATGTGAAAAGATTTTGGTGGCAGGAGAGGGTATTCACCCC